ACAGTTTCTGAAAGTATGACTTGAGCATCAAAATGTTTGTGCTCTTGCCTAGACAGTTTGGCTCAGTGGATAGAGCGTCAGCCTGCAGACTGAAGGGTCTCGGGTTTAATTCCGGTCAAGGGCAAGTACCTCAGTTGCAGGCTCCCAGCCCTGGCCAGGGGGCTTGTGGGAGGCAACCAATCAATGTGTCTCTCACACATCGGCGTTTCTCTCTGTCTCTCCCACTTCCCTCCACTCTCTAAAAATCAACGGGGAAAAAATATCCTTGGTTGAGGATTTAAAAAAAAAAAAAAAAAGTTTGTGCTCTTGGAAGATCCCTCAGATCTGTCTCTTGCTTCAACAGTGTTTGGATGGAACAGACCCAGTCACACCCCTTCTTCCAGCCTCGCACCGGTCACCACCTTCGGAACCACCTCAAGCCATTTTCTCAGCCTCTGAGACCAGCCAATGCCGTTTTTTAACCTAAACTCCTTATTGCCGAACAACGTGAGCTCCCAAATTCGTCAGAATTATTCCACCCAGATGGAGACTGCCCTCAGCCACTTGGCCAGCCTGCACCTTCAGGCCTCCTACACCTACCTCTCTCTGGGCTTCTATTTCGACCACCATGTGGCTCTGAAGGGCGGGGCCACTTCCGCAAGTTAGCAGAGAAGCTGGAGGATGCCCTGTGTCTCTTATTAAAGATGCAAAACCAGCTCCGTGGCCGAGTTTTTTTTTTTCCAGGATGTGCTGAAGCCGACAAAGATGAGTGGAACAAAACTCAGGACACCATGGAAGCCACCCTGGTCTTGGAGAGGAACCTGAACCAGGTCCTTCAGGAGCTGCAGGCCCTGGGTTCTACCCGCACAGACTCTCGTCTCTGTGACTTCCTGCAGAACCACTTCCGGGGTGAGGAGGTGAAGCTCATCAAGAAGATGGGCAACCACCTGACTCACATCCGCAGGCTGGCCAGCCCGCAGGCTGCGCTGGGCGGGTATCTTTTCGAAAGGCTCACCCTCAGGCACCGCTGGGAGCCTTTAGAGCCCAGAGTCCTTTGAGGGGCCCCTCTGCATCCCCTGGTGTCTGGCTTTTGCCTGAGCCTCTCCCTGAAACCACTAGCCACCCTTTTAACCACCCTGGAGCCCTTTCCCATGCACTGGACCAAATGGAAATAATAAAGCTTTTTGCAGCCCCCCCCCCCCCAAAAAAAATTGTGCTTTTACACAAATAGAGCTTTAATGGAGCATCTACATTAGCCTGAATATGATAAAAGCAGTAGTGGAAATATGGGAATATGCTTTGTTTTGCAACCTTGAACTGTGTATTTACCATTAGACTAGAATGGAATCAAATGCCCAGGATAGACCCTACAACTTGAAATCTAAGTAAAATAAGATTTATAATCAATCTTCAGATAAATGCAGAAAAATTTTATTTAATAAAGAGATATTGGTATAAAAGATTTTGCTTCAAGAATTTATGACCACCCTGGCCAGTCTGGTTCACTTAATTGGAGCATTTGTCCCATACACTGAAGGATGGCGGGTTAGATTCCTGGTCAGGGTACATGCCCACATTTTGGGTTTGCTCCCTGATCAGGGCATGTACAGGAAAGCAAACGATCAAAGGCAATCTTTCACATCGATGTTTTCTCTCTCTCTCTCTCTCTCTCTCTCTCTCTCTCTCTCTTTCTCTCTCTCTCTCCCTCCTCTCTAAAATCAATTTTTAAAAAAAAATTTTTAAAGAATTTATAACCATAAGTAGGTCACACATAATTAAGCTATGCTGACAACCAGAGAAAGACATTATAGAAAGAAACCTAAAGAGGCAATCAGTGTCGGAAGCAAAGTAAAAAAGAAAGGTGTTAATAAAGAGAGGGAAAGAGAACAAGACACAGAAAGTCTCAATGAGGATGAAGAATAATCAGGTGGCCCTGGCTGGTGTGGCTCAGTTTGTTGGTGCATCCCGTGCACCAAAAGGTCGAAGGTTCAATTCTCAGTCAGGTTTTGGATTCGATCCAGATCAGGGTACATACAGTAGGGACTGATCAATGTTTCTCTCTCCCTTTCTCTCTCTATTTCAACTTCCTAAAATATTATAAAATATCTACCATCTAATATATGGTCTTATTAGATGCTAGGGAAGAAAAATTTAATAAAATACAAATCCTCTAAATTTTCTCACCAAATTTATTTTATCTTCAAATTTATTTTATCTTCTCCATTCTCAGTGCCATAATTTTGTAAAGGCCTTCCTTAGCTCCTAAATGTTCTAACTCATCTTCACACATCCAATCACTCCTGTGCCCTCAAATTTCACAACGGAATTAGTGTGTGTTTCTTTCTAAATCTCAAATTTGTTCCTTTCACCACCCTGTTAAAACTATCAATGGCATAATTAATGTTAATGCCAAATTTAGAGGGCTTGATCAATGACTGAGAATGGTACTTTTCTATCATATTTCACAGCAAATGTCATTTAAACATATGAAAGCTTTTAAAACACATATCTACTTTGGATAATTTATTTTTATTCAAAAAGATACATCTATTGTGTATATAAAGCCTAACACTGTATACAGAGAAACTAGTGATAAAAGTACTCAGTGTTTCTATTTATAGGAATTAACCCCAAATCTTAAAATCTAATCATTTTGACCCACTAACAACTATAGAAAATAGACAATCTGAGCAAATTCTTATTTATACCTATAATGAAAATTTTCCTAAACTGGGTGGTTCCTAATACTCCTTTCAAATTTAGGACTTATTTAACTCCAACTTTAATTATGTATTTTTTATATTAACCTAGGCATAAGAATATGAATGTGGTAGAATATAGAAAAAAACAGTTTCTGAAAGTATGACTTGAGCATCAAAATGTTTGTGCTCTTGCCTAGACAGTTTGGCTCAGTGGATAGAGCGTCAGCCTGCAGACTGAAGGGTCTCGGGTTTAATTCCGGTCAAGGGCAAGTACCTCAGTTGCAGGCTCCCAGCCCTGGTCAGGGGGCTTGTGGGAGGCAACCAATCAATGTGTCTCTCACACATCGGCGTTTCTCTCTGTCTCTCCCACTTCCCTCCACTCTCTAAAAATCAACGGGGAAAAAATATCCTTGGTTGAGGATTTAAAAAAAAAAAAAAAAAGTTTGTGCTCTTGGCAGATCCCTCAGATCTGTCTCTTGCTTCAACAGTGTTTGGATGGAACAGACCCAGGGACACCCCTTCTTCCAGCCTCGCACCGGTCACCACCTTCGGAACCACCTCAAGCCATTTTCTCAGCCTCTGAGACCAGCCAATGCCGTTTTTTAACCTAAACTCCTTATTGCCGAACAACGTGAGCTCCCAAATTCGTCAGAATTATTCCACCCAGATGGAGACTGCCCTCAGCCACTTGGCCAGCCTGCACCTTCAGGCCTCCTACACCTACCTCTCTCTGGGCTTCTATTTCGACCACCATGTGGCTCTGAAGGGCGGGGCCACTTCCGCAAGTTAGCAGAGAAGCTGGAGGATGCCCTGTGTCTCTTATTAAAGATGCAAAACCAGCTCCGTGGCCGAGTTTTTTTTTTCCAGGATGTGCTGAAGCCGACAAAGATGAGTGGAACAAAACTCAGGACACCATGGAAGCCACCCTGGTCTTGGAGAGGAACCTGAACCAGGTCCTTCAGGAGCTGCAGGCCCTGGGTTCTACCCGCACAGACTCTCGTCTCTGTGACTTCCTGCAGAACCACTTCCGGGGTGAGGAGGTGAAGCTCATCAAGAAGATGGGCAACCACCTGACTCACATCCGCAGGCTGGCCAGCCCGCAGGCTGCGCTGGGCGGGTATCTTTTCGAAAGGCTCACCCTCAGGCACCGCTGGGAGCCTTTAGAGCCCAGAGTCCTTTGAGGGGCCCCTCTGCATCCCCTGGTGTCTGGCTTTTGCCTGAGCCTCTCCCTGAAACCACTAGCCACCCTTTTAACCACCCTGGAGCCCTTTCCCATGCACTGGACCAAATGGAAATAATAAAGCTTTTTGCAGCCCCCCCCCCCCCAAAAAAAATTGTGCTTTTACACAAATAGAGCTTTAATGGAGCATCTACATTAGCCTGAATATGATAAAAGCAGTAGTGGAAATATGGGAATATGCTTTGTTTTGCAACCTTGAACTGTGTATTTACCATTAGACTAGAATGGAATCAAATGCCCAGGATAGACCCTACAACTTGAAATCTAAGTAAAATAAGATTTATAATCAATCTTCAGATAAATGCAGAAAAATTTTATTTAATAAAGAGATATTGGTATAAAAGATTTTGCTTCAAGAATTTATGACCACCCTGGCCAGTCTGGTTCACTTAATTGGAGCATTTGTCCCATACACTGAAGGATGGCGGGTTAGATTCCTGGTCAGGGTACATGCCCACATTTTGGGTTTGCTCCCTGATCAGGGCATGTACAGGAAAGCAAACGATCAAAGGCAATCTTTCACATCGATGTTTTCTCTCTCTCTCTCTCTCTCTCTCTCTCTCTCTCTCTCTTTCTCTCTCTCTCTCCCTCCTCTCTAAAATCAATTTTTTTAAAAAAATTTTTAAAGAATTTATAACCATAAGTAGGTCACACATAATTAAGCTATGCTGACAACCAGAGAAAGACATTATAGAAAGAAACCTAAAGAGGCAATCAGTGTCATCGTTTCCTGAAATAATACATGCACATACATGCACACATAAGCTTAAACTCTTCACCAATGATTGGGTTTTGTTTATGCATAAAGATATCTTATTTGAACAGAAAAAAAAAAACTTAAATCTAAAATTAAACCTGAGGTTTCATTCATTTCTCTACTAACAATATAGGGTTTTTAATATTGCTCTGACTTTGAAAACTCAATACAAACATTATCAAAAAGACTATCAAAAGCAAAGGCAGCAGAAATAACAAAAATATTTAGATGTTGTATATACATATTTATTAATCTGAGGAAAGACATTTACATTGAGATTTTATATCCCCATAAGAAATTTAAAATTATAACATCTACTTACCAACCCAATACAGTTGCTTAAAGCCACTTTGGTTGTACTATGTTGATCTTCCAAGTATCCTGTGTAGTGACAGTTGTCTAAAAAATTATGTTTCCACTGAGGCCCATCTTTCCCCCAGTATTCTACGGTAAAATGTTTGGACACAAAATCCGTGTTGAGAGTCAAGTTTAGGTGAAAGTGCTTGCCATAGGCTGAAAGTTTAAAAAATAACTTAGATGCTGCCTGCTGTGGATCGATAGGGTCCATACTCCGTCTTCTCCTCGAGTGTTTATCATTTTTCACAGTAAAGCTGAGGAAAGCTCCATTTTGGTCAACCCTTATTGGAATAGTTAGCTGGTAGTGTTCTAGGTAAGTCAGGAATTCCTCTTCGTAATCATAAAGCAGAGTATCCAGAAAAAAAAACACACGGAAGAAAAGATAATTTAACAGAACAACAAAGTAGCAGTGTAAATAACAACTATATCAGCTAAAACTACGAACCATCATGGGTGAGTTAATCTGAGGAAATAAAATAAAATAAAATAAAAGAGTAAAAGTTTCAAATCTAAAGATGAATTAAGTTTCAATTATTTAATTCCTCAAAATAACATTATTTTAAAAGACTATTTTTATTTTTACAATTTAATTTTGAAAAACATGAATTCTAAGGGGAAATTACACAGGAAATATGAATATTTTATCTTGAATATTTTATCTTAAAACAGTGAAAAACACACATATGTAAAAGAATAGAATTTAGCTCAGATAAAATGTTTGTGAAAGTTATCCAAAGAGTTCATAAAGAATCTCAACAGCCTTGATGACATTTTTTTAAAAATAAATTATCGGCTAGCCACTTTGTGAAACAGTCTGGCAATTCCTCCAAAATTAAACATGGAACTACCATCTGACCCAACAATTCCACTGCTAGGTATACACCCAGAAAAATGAAAACACATATCCACACAAAAACTTGTACATGAATGTTTATGGCAGCATTGTCCATAATAGCCAAAAGGAAGAAATAACCCAAATGCCCATCAAATGATGAATAAATGAGTAAAATGTAGTATATTCACTTACATAATGAAATATTATTCTGCAATAAAGGGATACAGTGCTGATACATGCTATGACATGAACGAATCTTCATAATAACTGCCTTCATAATTAAAGTTCATTATCTAACATTATAAAAATATGCTAAGTGAAAGAAACCAGTCACAAAAGATTATATGTTATATGATTTCAATTATATGGAAATATCCAGAATAGGCAAATCTCTAGAGACAGAAGTAGATTAGAGGTTGCCTAGGGCTAGGGATGTAGAATGGTTTAGAGGGAATTTATGAGTTGACTATTAATGGGTACAGTTTTCTTTTTAGGATAATGAAAATGTTCTAAAATTGATTGTAGTTATGGTTATACAACTCTGTGAATATATTGTAAACCATTTGAATTGTATACTGTAAATGGGTAAATTATATGGTATACCTATTATATCTCAATAAAGCTGTTTTAAAAAGTATCAGAATGACAAAAAATTAATGACTATTAAATAATATTTTCCTCACTTAGGTGTACTAAACATTACCAATCTACCTTCTTAACTACATCTTCCTTTAGCGGGGTTTACTACCAAGGAAAACCAAATGGCTGCCTGATGCCTTACTGTCTCTACATGGAGCTCACTCACAAATATAAACTCCCATGAAACCATGACCAAATGGAAATAATTTGAAAGATAATATTTATTTTATTTCTCATGAATAAGAGTTCATACCAAATGCTATGGCTTTATTGATCTACTTTGAGATTCACATTTTGTATGTATGGATTTCTAGACATCAATCTATAATAGCCTTGAAAATCTGGTTTCTCAGCACCAAAAAAATGATCTGTTACTATACATTCATGGAAGGGGACTACAAAAGGTCTGCCTTCTCTAATTCTAAAAGGATTGGACTGGCTCATGGAAAACAAAATGACATTTCTTCCTGGGATCTTTCTGTTAAGATGTTTCCTATGATACAAAGTTCAATTCTATGAATGAAAATCATAGGGCTCTATGGGTTAGAATTTGAAAAGTTGAACTTCTCACCACTTTTACCTTCTTACCCAGGTTCTAGATCTTAGATCAGAATTCTTAAGTTAGAAAAAGCACTTTTCACTAAGGGTCCATATTTTAAAAATCTTCTATCAGAACTAGAGGCCCAGTGCACAAAAATCATGCACTCGAGGGAGGGGTCCCTCAGTCCGGCCTGAGCCCTTTCGCAGTCCGGGAGCCCTTGGGGGATGTCCCACTGACAGCTTAGCGCTGCCTCGGAGGTGGGAGAGGCTCCCACCACCGCCGCTGCACTTGCCAGCCATGAGCGGGGCTTCTGGCTGAGTGGCGCTCCCCCTGTGGGAGCACACTGACCACCAGGGGATAGCTCCTGTGTTGAGCATCTGCCCCCTGGTGGTGGGTGCGCGTCATAGCAACTGGTTGTTCTGCCGTTTGGTCCATTTGCATAGTAGCCTTTTATTATATAGGATGTGTCTAGTTTCTTGCTCTTTCATAGTATAAACCTTTGGGTTCCATTTAAACATGACTTTACCTGTACACTCTAGCAATGAATGAACCTATCAATGTTTCGGATTCAGAAGAAGATGCTTGGTCTATATCTTTTGAAAAAGACCAGTCAACTCTAAAATCCACTGGATATTAAATACCAGTGAAACAAGTTAAACAGACTTTTAGAGGCCTTAACATTTATGAAATGTGCACTGAACTGACACTGTAGGCCTCTGCTCCTATCACTTCATATCCCAAAGAAAATGTTCACCCAAACTAAATATTCAGTCCCTTCGATAGTTCAGCTGGTAGAGCGAAGGACTGTAGTTCATTAATAGCAATATTTTTTGTCAGTTTCAAAAGCAGGAATCCTACCTTGTGAACTGTATGAGAGCCGGTGGTCACTATGAAATTCCGATGAAGCCATGATGAGGCTCAAAATCCAGGTCAACGTCTTCCACAAAATTTCCATAATTTAGCAAACTGGATGATTTTTTGGAGGGTTACCTATGTGCTAGAGAGTCAATACCATAGCAAATTAGTTATTAGATGGTCCACTGTTTAACAGATACTTTTTCCCAACATCCTGTACTTTCTTCTATATCTGGATTCATTTTCTCAATCCAAAATGAAAAATTAATGATGGTAAAATGTTCATAAGCAAAAGCATTAGGCTGATTAGTTACTAAAGTATGGCCATTTTTTAACATAGAAAAACAGGAAAATTTTAAGTTAACTGAAAAATACCCTGAACAGACAGATCTATATTGCCGAATGCTTGCCAAAGGACATGTACTATGAAATAACTTAATATAGTTAAATTAGGCCATTGTTGTTCTTTATAGTCTAAATAAAATTCACAAGACTAAACACAGAGTTAGAAACCAAAATGTTTAGCAGGATAATGTCAAAGCTATTTAATAATCAAAGAACAAATCTGAAGAGAAATAAAAATTCTTTTAAAAAAATACTTTGAAGATAACAATGTATGGGTACAGTGACTAACCTCCTTTTGATAAAAATAAAAAGTAGGCTGACTTCACAATCCAAGTTAATTTTATGAAAATGTTAAACAGGATGCGATCCCATCCCTTTACATGCTTTTTAGAACACTCAAATCCACAGATTGATGTGTGCTTTATGAGGCACCTATCCTTCTTTTCTTACAGACTAGATTTACAAACACACGGTGACATTTAGCCGCTGTCTGAATGCTCAGACAATAACATAAACTAAACTTCTGAAAAGTTTAACCATATTTGCTGCAACCCTTGACTTTATCTGGAAGTCTTGTATGACTTATAAGGCAACACATACAAGCCAACGTCAACTACCTAGAATCTAACTGAAAGGAAATGCAATTCATTTTCTGAAAAGAAAATAATTTTTAAAAATTCATTTCAGGTATAACAACAGATTTCATGTCTTATCTCATGGACTTTCTCTTCAACTTATAACTTCACTCAGAGTCCATGAATTTACATTTTATACAGAAAACTAGTGTACTTGGCTACCTGATTTCCCAACAAAGGAACCGGAAACTATCTCACTAACAGCACAATAGTGACCAAAAAAGGATAAAAAACTAAAAAGTAGTTTTAGTACTCCAAATCAATACGGTTTGGTGCAGAAGCAAGCAGTCCTCACATGGTTTAACAGTTACAACTGTGCATATAACTGTGTGACAGTCAGTGTCTGATACTCAAAATACTATGCCTGAGCTAGGAGCAAAAGGTTAAATTGCTCTTAATAAGATAGCTTCCTACAGCCTGGCTAGTGTGGTTCAGTGGTTAAGTGTTGACCTATGAACCAGGAAGTCACGGTTCAATTCCCCGTCAGGGCACATGCCCGGGTTGCAGGCTCGATCCCCAGTGTGGATCGAGCTCTCATCCTCTCTAAAATAAATAAAAACATATATTTTTTAAAAATATAGCTTACTATAAATATAGAGAAATATACAAAAGATGTTAGAGATTTTCATCCCAGGTCTCTAATATATGGGCTTATCATAATAACTGGTAACATATTTGTTGGTTAAAAAAAATGAATGAGTAAATAAAATGAATAAATAAATGGTTGTTACAATCACTTTAGGCATATAAAAGGATATTTGTAGTTCATTGGAAAATTATGTGCAATACTTTATTCCCTAGGATGCTAGAAATATCGGCTTTATAACATATAAAACAATCACAACCATTTAAAATTCTTTGTGTCTGTCTCTACAAGTTATTAAACTGCTAAACTTTGGAAAAACTAGTTCATTAATCAACAAATATTGTCTTATTATATTTTCAAAAGGATGTTATAATCTTTTCCTTTGAAAAGATTAAGACAGAATCATTGCTTATAATCTAAGTAACAACGAAAAAGTTCAAGGCAGACTGACATATGCCCTAATGAAGTTATGAAAAGGTGTTACAAATCAGATGAGGGAGATGACTTCTGAATCAGAGAAAGATGAGTCAAGGAAAGTTTATTTAAAAAGTAGCCTTTGAGATAGGTCCTAGAAGATGAACAGAATTTCACAAGTCAAATTGCTGGGGGCAATCATTATAAAGAAATAGATTCCACAGAGTCCAAATGGTAAGACAAAAATGGAAAATAGTATTAATAATAATAGTAAGTTTGATTCTTATGCAGAAGATTACTTTTCTAGAAGGTAACATCTAGAAAAGTAGTTTAAGGTCAGATCAAAAATAAAGAGAATTTTAAATATATTACACTTCTCTGAATATTCACAACAATCTTATGCAGGAGGATTAGTGTCCCTGTGTGAGGCACACTCCAATAATAGTGCTTCCTGATATCCACGACTTTATGTAATGCCCTTCCCTTGAGTAATTTGCTCCTAACCACTTGAAGACCTCAGTGTGGAGGGGATGTCACTTCCATGATTCGATGACACAAGATTCTAACTTCCACATTACTGTAGGCTCTCTCCCTTGTTGAACTGATGAAGCAAGCTGCCATATGGAGCGGCTCCCATGGCAAGGAACTAAGAGCAACTTTCAGATAACCACTGGCAAGGAAACGAGGCTCTCGGTGCAATAGCCTGCAAGAAACTGAATCCTGCCCGCTAATATGTAAGCTTAGAAGCAGATCCCTTCCCGGTTGAGCCTTCTGTGGTAACCCCAGTCCTTGCCAACACCTTCATTGTGCTTCATGAGATACCCTGAATACAAGGTGTATAGCTCAGCCATGCCCGGACTCCTGAACCACAGAAACTCTGAGATAATAAATGTGTGCAATTTTAAGCCACTAAATTTATGGGGGGGGGGGGGGGGTTGCTTGTTTTTGTTTGTTTGCAATGTACAGATAAAGAAATTGAAGCTCATAGTGGTCACAGAATATAGCTAGAAAAAAGCAGAGCCCAGAGTCATACACTGGGCTACTTGGATCTAAAGTCTAAATTCTTTCTATTACATCACACTTCCAGTTTAAGGCACCCTAACTTAAATATTCAATAGCAGTTGCATACAACCAGTATCAAATAAGATATTCATAAATGGTATAGGTTAATTAATGTGAACAGTTTTAAGCAACCTTATACGCAATTGTTTCATTTCAAAATTATGTACTTCTACAGTGATTTAGGCAAGGCAGCAGGCACTACATAGCCTTTCTTAGGCAAACATCTATAAAGAGATTAAGTCACACCATTATTCAATATCAGTAATGAAAATAATCCAATTCTCTTGACTCCCAACCTACTTAAATACAATCTCGATCTCCATAACAGTTGTTTCATTACCAACTTCCATTCTTCGTTTGTTTTCTTTTTTTTTTTTTCAGATCAATTGAGTGCTTTCATAATAATGTCCAACATTAAATGAATCCTTCCTACACTTTAAAAGTAATCTTCTTTTAACGTGTTAATATATAACTAACACATTTCAATTAGTTTTCTAGTAGTGGTGATAGATTTGTACTGAATCATTCATCCTTTTTGCTCCTATTTACTCGGACTCTAAAACTAATGACAAACTTATACAAACTAATGACAAACAATATAGTTAGCTGGTCTCATTTCTTAGAGTTAACTCCTTTCCCCCTTGAGAAATCTCCTGCTCTTAACAGTTTTGTAACCTCCACTTTTACCATTGCTAACACTGTCCTGTATACACCCAAGTTAAGTAAGCCATAGCATTGAGAGGAAAAATATGTAACTACTTGGCCAGAAGTAGACTAACATTGGATTTAAGGATTTGTAGTGAAAAGGGCATTGGTGCATGGCAGAAAGAGCAGAAGCTTTGAGGTTAAACAAACCAGAGCTACAGTCTTGGTTCCACCACTAGCTATCTGGCACATGGACACTCAATAAATTTGGTTTTTCTCTCTCCTTTATTCACTCCAGCCCTCGCTCCCCACTTTTTTTCAAGCCTCCAGTGCCAGTGAAGAAAATTAATAGTAAGTAAATGAGTTGGCTCAAGCTCAACTAATATCAACAACAAACATATCTGACCATATTCAGTCAACTCACAATAAAAATGAATGGGTTAGGGGGGGCTGGGAGAGGAAATCCACAAATCCCTGGGAGCAGGAAAGAAACTACAAATCAGGGGGGTTTCTTAACCTGCATACTCCTACCAGGTACTCCTCTGATTTAGGTACTCTACCTGCAGATACTCTCTAGCCCTAGCCGGTCCTCCAACAGAACTCTGTGCCCTGGTACCTAGGGATCTCCTTAGAGACAGGGCTCTTCTTGCCAAGGCTGAGGATCACAGGTGTCTTCCAGCCACTCCATGAGTGAGACAAGCTAAACAGCTGTGGGGCTCTCAGAGCTCCCCAATAGCATCAGCCACGACCCCCTGGATCATGCACCAGGCCTGGCATGGCCTGTGCTGATAGGGGTTGTGCTGGTGGCTATGGTCCTTTCTCTCCTCATTGCACTTGCTGCCAAATGCCACCTCTGCTGAAAATACCGCACCAGCTACCAGCACTGCCCACTACCTGAGACAAGAGACAAGAAGGGGATCTGTCCAGAGATGAGTGAAAATGAGGATGAGGATGGCTTCATCAAGGTCAATTGCATTCAGGCTAGGGCCTGAGGACTGGGGACATAGGGAAGCAGGAACCATTTCAACTTCTGATCTTTGGGAACCCCTTGCCCCCCTGACAGCTTAAGAATTGTGAATACTACATGGGAGGCACAAACCTCAGGGGAGGTGGCTAGGGTTTAAGGGTTGACCAAGGGTTGAGCAATCCTTCCTTCCCTAACAATAGCCACCAAAGTGACAGTGACCCTCTCTTGCTCAATAACCTTCAAGGGCTCCCTGCTATTCTCAGGATAAAACCAATCTAGGGCCTAAACTATGGAAATAAGGCCTCTGTCAGCCTCTTGGTTTCCTTTCTTGCCTTTCCCTGGTATGCTCCCTACTTAACTAATTATTATTTTATACCAGATGATAACATTTTAGCAGATAAATATCAGAGTGCCAAGTTTCTTACAGAATTTTTTTTCCATCAACAAAGTGGGTAATCTTTAACAAACGGGTTAAAAAACATTTTTCTTTTTAATGAATGAGTTAACTTACTTTCTGACACCTGCTGGAGAAGTTAATCTGCATATCACCAACAACTATGTAGAGACACTAACAGATATAGTTTCCAAAATTCAGACTAACATTAAAGCATTACATAAGTGTCCAGAAATTATAATGCATTAACTCTACATTGTATAGCAGAAGCATTATCACGGAAAAGCACAAAGGCTTTGAGTTCTGGCTTGACTCCAAGTTATTTAAACTCACTGGATCTGTTATCTCATCTATAAAACTGTGATAATGGTACCTACCTAACAAAGACTGGTTGAGAGATTAAATTAGATTACATGTGATGTGAAGTGTCTTCGCACTTCACTTTAATGGCTAAACAAATATTAGCCCCTCCCCCCTTCTCCTGGTTATCTGACTCATCACTTTTCAAAGACCTTCCTTGAAAAATAGTTTTATGTTCCTCCTTCCCTCAGAAATGTGGACTAGTTGGAAATGATGATAGAATCAATCAACTGCATTGTATTGTCTTTTGAACAGTAAAGAATTTAGGTCATGATAACCAGGCTTACAATACTCTATATATGAAAACAAGATTCAAAACTTTTCATTTTATTGTATTTCAAATATGCTTTTTTCCTAATACAAATGCACCAACCAGTGAAGTTAAGGGATCATTTACCTGCATCCATGGATCAAAGCTACTCTAGCTAAACAGAAATAAGAGCAGATAACGTGCACTACAGTAACTGCCTCAGTAGTCTGCCCTGGTTGGAAGGTACTTGTCTTTTCTGCTCTATCATCTTTACTTCCCACTCAAGTGATCTGGAGTAGCCAAGGTAATAATTTCCTCTCCTGAACTATTATTATGGAGCTAAAAGAACATGTATAACATCCTTCTCAGCTTCTTTCATCCATCTTAACCCCGGTTATTTATTTTCAGACTGATCTGGTCTTCACAGAGGAAGTAGCAATACTGTGCTCCCTTCAGGTGTTCAGTTTTTATATGTGAAAATTAACATTTCATTTTCCATTTAGTCTCTCAAGAAATATTTATTGTCATATACTATATGCCAAGGACACCACTAGCCTATAAGTACAAAGGTTTCCAGATCATTTATCAACTTTGTAAGATTGGTTTCCAAGGAAAGGTATAATCAAGATGTATCTATCAAGAAAAGTAAATGATCCAAAAGCAAAAATACAAAACATCAGTCTACACAAAGCAGGCCCTAAATTATGTAATGTCCCAAATTACTTTTTTTTTCCAAATGGCAAGTTGGATATACATTATCTGTTATAACTTCTCTCCTGAAAACAAACACCTTTTTCTCTTGAGGTTAACTCAAAGTGTTGATAATCAACTATGTCCTTTGGTATAACCAAGAGAGCAATCAACCTCTTGCCCGTTTTCTTCTTCCCCCCAGAAATGTTCCACAAATGTGCCATTTACTCTCCTAACATATTATCTCTCTTTATTCACTCACAAAAGTCACACATAGGATAAGATTTGGCATATATACCCATCCTAAACCACTAGTAGCTACTAGTGGTTGCTAAGGAAATAAAGAGGAAGTGGTAAGAGTAGACAAGAATAGGAATTAATCTCACACGTATTGGCCCAGATAGGGTAAGTATTAAAATATTTCAGGTTTTGAGGTTAGAGATTTTTCCCCTTGAGAATCATAAAAATATTAATATCAAAACATAGATTTCATTGGCTGCCATTTGTGGCAAATGAATGAATTTGATTTGTTTGAAACCAACTATTTGCTTCTATACACTGTTCTTCAAAAAATCCAAAACACCAATGATCACATTTAAGCACTAAATTAATATAAGCCAGAATTGCTGTTACCACTTTGATTAAACACGGGAAAACAATTATCTCCAAAATTAATTTTCTCAATTTCCTTCAACTACACCAATTTTATTTTGCATTTCCTTCCCTGCATGAATTTGGAGACCTGTCATTCCCACACCTAAGTTTGAGTCTAATCAACATAAGCTAAAAAGAGAAAGAAAAACAAAAGAAAGAAAATTAGTCCAAGATATTTAAACATAAAAGAATATGCTGAAAATCACACTCCAGTGTCTTTCTTCAAAAATCCAAACCACCAATCCAAATGTTAAAGTT